AAAAAATCTTCATCCTTTACTTCTGTCACGCCAACGGTTCTTGCAGTTTTGAGCAAGTCTATTGCGAAATCGACTGGGCCATGTCCATTGGGCCCTGTGATGTTTTTTTTCTGGTCGAACTTCAAACCTTCCTTCATATAAAGTTGCACCGGAAACAAGGTATGAACACACATATTGCAATTTCGATGCTTCATTTCCACTGATTGGAATGGTCTTGAGACGGACCTTCAGTTCAGCTATGAGATGTTTAAGTATTGCCTGGGAAGATTCATCTTTCAGATTCTTGTACTCACACGTGAAAGGCGGGAATACTGATAACGAAGGATCGTCTGTTTCACCGAGTCCGTAAAGCTGGCATACCTTTGGTAAAAGTCCAATCTGAGAAAGCTTTTGAGGGGGTCTCTATGAACACTGCTCCATCATTTTCAAGTGCCGGCGTTTGGTACATCGTATATATGGATTTTTTGAGGTTTTCGAGGGTTGCGTGTTCGATATTCGCTGTCCACTTGAATCCCTTTGTTCATTTCGGGCTAACAATAACGTCGAACTCTGTAACATAACAACTGGGTTAGTTAAAAATCCGAAATTTTCAGAAGTGGGATTTTTGGTCCCAGGTTTATCGATCACTTTTGCCCCGCCTTCTATCCCTCGAAGCCAGAAAAATAGATGCAGAATGTAACATAAACAACAGATAACAGCATATATCTTTTTCCGAACATGAGAGGAAAAAGGGTAGAAATTTTTGTTTCGCAGGCGTATACTGCCTATACATATACGTACCATAGACAGACTTGTTGAGTAATGCTTGCAACGAGGCGACTTGGTCAAGTAATTCCTGTTCACGGCTCGAAGTGGTGGGTGACGTGGGCGATTCGACTATAACATGAGTATGTTCCTCGGGAGGTGAGTCTGGAAAATATTTCGAGATCTTTTTTGTCGCAAGGAGTTCGTCCCCATCATTGAGTGTGGAATTGCTTAAGAGATCGTCCCGATCGTCAGGAATTTCTACTTTCCATAGCTTGAGATCTTTGGCGTCAACACCAGCGAAAGTTTGCTCATTTTTCTCCTTTGTAACCTCCTTGAGGTGGCTAACTAACTTGTTACCATCAATATCAACAGCGAACGCATGTGCAGACGTATTTCCTTTGATGAGACAGAGTAAAGTGATAGACATAGTGACATATTATTTTTTGCGAAATTTTATTGGCTATTGTTAGTTATCGTCAGTAGTATATTACATAATTAGCCTTGAAGATCAAGTGTTTTCACTAAAGATTAAAGAATATGTAAACAGAAAACTGGACTTATATACAAAAATGAATGGAAAAAAACGCCCGTTAAATAGTCCTCTGGGCAGTAGGTCTTTATTTATTTATACTTAAGGGAAAATCAGTTTTAAATCCCGTTTTAACTCTCGAATTACGCGTTTGCAGGCATATCGCCGATATCATGGCATTTTGTTTTGTGGTGGGTACCGAAGTTAAGAGCTCCTTTCAAGTTGAAGGCCAGGCAGGAATGAGTATTTCAAAACTAAGGGAAGTAATCTATGAGAAGAATAAGAACGATTTCAAAAATTTTGACGCCAACAAGTTGAACCTATGGAAGGTGGATATTCCTGGCGATGCAAAAAACGATAAATTCGTTAAACTGAGAACACTTGAAAGCAGATCTCATAATGAAGATACTATTATACGAGAGCTCGATGGACAAGAGTTGACTCCATTTGATGATTTTGGTGACATTTTTGCGTATAGTGACTTGAAGAAGATCCGCATCATCGTGCAACCACCACTGCCTGCCACCACTGGTAAGTGTCTCCCAATGTTTTACTTCGAACAAGAAATTTGCGGTTATCTCATTCTTTTATTTCTTTTATTTGATTAGCAAAGAGAAAAGCGGAAGGGGACGAGGAAGGTGGGAACCGAAAGAAGGATAAACGAAGATGTATGTAATATATTGTTTGCTACGTTGACTCGTAATCTTGCTTTGTTTTCTAAAATTCACTTTTTCTTTTTACGATTTATTTGATATTAAAGATCCTGATGAATCAGAAGAGGGTCGGGACAGCCTTATGGTTATCTCATCTAAAAGGGTGAAGTGGATCACTGAGTTTGTGGAAAATAACCATATTAGTCTTTTGCGCAGTCCTCCATCATCAGGCAAGAGTACTCTTGGACAGGTGCTCCGAGACTATTTTGAAAGTCTCAATTATGATAGCATATACATTAGTCTTGCTAGTATCAAAGGTAAACAAGAAATCTACGATGAGGTGCTCTTTGAAAATTTCTGGAAGAAGAAAGTTGGTAGAACCTGGACAGAAATCAGTGAATGCAAAAAGGATACTTATGTGTTTATAGATGAGATACAGATTATCTATGGTAATCGCACTCCATTCTTTTGGGGTATAGTGAAAGATCTTTTGTCAAGCGAATCAAATCTTCAAAATATTCGGATAATTTTGCTCGGCACATACCATCCAACACTTGATCCTCAAATGACACCCGTGGAAATTCGTCATACACTTGGTTTGGATGCCCTACTTCTAACATGGGAAGAAGTCCATCAGCTTATAATGTTCTATATTCAGAGACATGCTACTTTAGGTAGCCCGAGTTTCAACATCCCTGGACCTGTTCAGAAGGCAATCTTTAATCTCACTGGTGGATATCCTGGTTTGTGTCGATTCATTTTGACCGCGTTACGCAACCAATTTCGTGAAAATGGAAAAAACAGTGGAAATGTTGCGATATCTTGCTTCATCATATCTACGAGATGGTATAATATCAACTGCGCGTGCTTTTCACTGGATCCGTGATTGGAATATAACAGATGAAGAATCTGAATTTATTCGCAAAAAGCTACTCCATCAAATTGGCATTCCCTTTTCTGCTGACTATGCCTCGAATCCTGTTACTAATAAATTTGTTAAGATGGGTCTCTTCTCCACGTTTGATTCTGATGAACGAATACAATTTTCCGCCCCTATAACGCGAGTTATTCTGAGCCACTACCTGTTCACCGCCCCTGTAAATTTTAAGTCATTACCTGCAAGAACCTTTGATGAGTTTTTGGTGCGAACCATTGAGCGCATGAGCCCATCTAAGTTGTCTGAATCGATTGGAAAAGGATATGGTGATAATTCACATTTATATGAGAGAAGTTGGCAAATGGAATGGTATCGTACTGCTACAACTGTAGTCCCAGAGGGTACATCAATAAGTGCTGATGTTGGTGCCGTGTTTGGCTCAGTTGGATTTCTGGATTTCTATGTTAATGGAAAACTTTGCTGGGGAATTGAGCTGACACGTGAGGGTAACAGTTTGAAGGTGCATGCAGAACGATTTGAGCAAGGTGGCAAGTATGCTGACATCCCATTAAAAGATTGGGCCATCATTGACTTCCGACATCATACAAAACAAGTAAGGGAATTAAAACAAAACTTCTGGTATGTGTTATATGATGATAACTATAAATGCGTTATTATCAAACGTCGTGATCAGGATGACAAAGTCCTTGCCTTACATGGTGATTAAGTGTAATCTGTATTCATGTTACATAGAAAATGTGTTTATTATAAATAAAAAAATTCATCGTGCGAATATAATAAATGAATGAAGTAGCGAGTTTCAAGGGAGGAAACATCTCGAGCCCTAACCCGTAAAATAAGAGTTCCTTCCCGCTACTCATTATTAACTGTTTTGCTATCAATCCAAACACCTATTTTATCTAAATTGATTTTACGATAATAATTTTTAATCGAATCTTTACCAATTTTTCCCACCCTGAGTCAACCATTACAAATCTCGTTTTGGAGCGTTGAGATAGACCCATTAATTGATTCGAATTCCGTTGCGACTCTACCAAAATTATTATGGTAGGTTTGAAGGATACGTTTAATTTCATCAAGTCTGGCATCATGATTGGCAAGCTCGGTGGTGATTCGGGCATCTCGGTTTGCATTAATGGTATCACGTGCAGAAGGGTCGGAATTCTATATTGCTTTGCATCTAGCATACATATAGCATGTCCCGATTGCATTAATTTTTCTATTAATTATTCTATGCGGTATATATTGTTAAAGAATTTAGCATAGATATGATTGATCTATTTGGTGACGAAGTATACAACGAGTTGAAGACTGTCATGTTCACAGGAATTCTCCCATGTGTACACCATGTAAAAAGTGTGGTAAGTTAACTTTTTCTAAATATGATGCATGTATAATGCACGCTGGTAATTATCGATCTCGATATCAATATCAGCGAAAAAGGCTAGAGAAAATGGCAGAAAAATCAGAAGTGCTTAAAGAAAACTCATAATGATATTGATATCATACCCAATAGCATGTCCTGATCTCAAAAATAAGTTAAAAGATATTATATCTATTCGTAAACCTGCAATCAAGAATTACATCGGGCCATAAATGACGATATATAATTGGATGCATCGTCAGATGTATATTTTTTTGCCCATGTGAGCCAACGACAGAAATCAGATACGGTTGCCAAACTAGCATACAAATATCGCAATCAACTCGTCAAACTCACGTTAAGGCCAACAAGTCAGCATAACCTAACTCAGCTATTTTATTACGATGGAAATCGGTCAGGAACGATAAGTCAATATACGATATCAGTTCATCAAACTCGCAATAACAATACAGGTACGTCATAACCTAAATTACACATCACTCAGATAATGAAGCAAATACAAATCGCATGTCATCTGATATCCACTTATCTTTTGACGAGGCAAATGTGATCACGTCGTTACTCGAATGACGGTACGTCATAACCTAAATCACATATCACTCGGATAACGAAGCAAATACGATCACATATATGATCACGTCGTCACTCGAATGACGACAAATATATGATACCATCGTCACTTCTGAATGGGAATAACCTATACTAAGTGGAAATAACATAATTATGTTATTTCCACTAGTTTTAAAAAATAATTTAATTTTTTTATTTAAACCTATAGTTAGGTCACACTATATGTTTATTAATTATTATGAAAACTAATAAAGATATATAGGGCAATTGTATCATGGTTAAACTAAATCTTGTACTGATACACTTATCAATGGCTTTTAATTCTTAAAAAAGTTTTAGCCTCTAAGTATAATCTTGGAAACAATATTTCACTCCATAATAGATTTTGAGTAAATATCCTCCTAATTTACAGTATATATAATTTCTAATAGGTTATTAATATTTATTATTTTTTAATAACCTAATTTTGAGAAACTACAAAAGGGGAAAGAAAAATAAAAAGAAAAAAAGATATTTAAAATTATACAAATGTATTATATAAAAAGAAAAAAAAATAAAATAAAATAAAAGTGCTCTATATTTTCCAAAAAATCTCTACTGAAAATCTCTTCTCATTAAAAATTAATTCTTCTAAGATATTTTTCTTCTTTTTGATTATTTGAAAAACTTATCGATCTATAATCTTGATTATTTTCTAATAATCATTTAAGATACATATTATCTACTCAGATTCAATGTCTTGTTTAATATTTTTTTTTTTTATCTTGATTTTTAATTCACTTATATACAATAAAAATAGTTGATAATAGATCTCAGATTCTTATGTGACTTTTTAGTCATGTTGTATAACTTCTGGTATCTTCTAGAAACTATGCAATTTTATTAATAATCATCTTCCATTATTCAAAAAGTCAAATTTGTTAACAATATTTTTATTTTGTAATAGTAAAAGGGATAAAGCCAATATTAAGAATTCTTATCAATTATAATATCATTATATAATATCTAAGAAAATATATTTTCAATCTTAAAAAAAAGATAATATTTTACATTTCTTTACTTTTCAATTTTATGCCTGATCAGTATAAGTAAATAATCTCTTTCATGTATTTTACCTAATCAAGATAATAAGTTAAAGATCCCTATTTAAACAAATAATTATCTTTTTATCACCTAGAAAATTTAGTGCTTATCTTAATGATCTCATAAATTCATCACTTTATTTATACTTCATTTGGAGAAATAGAAAAGTTCATATCAATAATTTCTCTTTCTTTCACTAATAACATTATCAAAATATATAATTTAACCAGTAGAAGCTTGTTTACATTCTATTATCAATGTGTTTTTAGAAAATATTTTATAATATATAGTACTACATATAGATATTTAATAAAATATATATATCTAGTTTAACAAAAGGTTTTTAAAAAAATAAATAAGTAAATTATTATAAAAAAATAATAATAAACAAATTTAAAAAACTTTTTTTACTAATTTTCTAACCATACACAAAAAAGATATTTATAAGAAGAAGTTTTTATAGTTTATTACTAATAAAGTTTTAATACTTTCCTTAAAACAACTTAAAATATAACTGGTAAAATTTTTTTCTACTGATTTTTTAACTATATACAAAAAAAAAAATGTTCATAAGAAGTTTTTTTTTGCTTCTTTGCTAAAATGTCTTAAACACTTTTCTTAAAACTCCTTGAAAAGTGACTTCAAGAGTTGTCTCTATTCTCTTTTACTTGTTTACAATCCTTTTTAATCAAAAATTTGACTTTTGATAATTAAGAACAAGTCAAGTAACAC